GGGGCCTCCTGGCAGCGCCAGCGGAGCCCCGGGCCTGCTCCGGGGTGCGAGGGAGGTGACCTGCCCCGCGTGCAGGCAGTGCCGAGGGAGGCAGCCGGACTGCAGCCGGACAGCCCGGCCGCCCTGCGCTCTTGTGCTGCTGCAGGAGGGAGCGCCGGGAGCGCTGGGCAAGGGGCTGGAGCGCAGGAGCCCCCTCCACCGGGCGCCCTGTGAGCGGGACTCGGCCACCGCGGAGCCTCCAGCGACGCTCAGGCGCCCTGGGCGGCCCTCGCGCCTCCCCAGCGCGGTAGAGCAGGCGACCCCCAAACCGCCATGGGGCACTGAGGCCGTCAGCCCCACGGGCCGCAGAGGGCGGCTGCTGGTGGGGGAGGCAAGGGCCCCTCTCCACTGGCCTGGCCCCAAACAGGGGGCACGGTGTGGAGCAATGCCCATATATATGACCGTGCACCAGGGTCCCCAATGGCAGCAGGTGTCACCTTAATAGCCCGGGAAAGCCAATTACCCCAGATGATTATGATTAATAACGCCATAAGCCCTGATCGAGCTGAGCCAGCTCCTGGAGCTTACGCGCAAGGGCACGTTATAAAGGGTGTCAGGCCACGGCCGGTGCTCCGGAGCCACTTCTGCCTGGTACGGCACAGCCCGCGAGCGCAGCCGGCTGTGGAGGTGATCGCCCGCCCGCCAAGAGCAGCTGAGCAGCACCCCAAGAGCCTCGCGAACCGCAACCATGAACGGCACGGAAGGCCAAGACTTCTACGTGCCCATGTCCAACAAGACTGGGGTGGTGCGGAGCCCCTTTGAGTACCCCCAGTACTACCTGGCTGAGCCCTGGAAGTTCTCAGCACTGGCCGCCTACATGTTCATGCTGATCCTGCTGGGCTTCCCCATCAACTTCCTCACACTCTACGTCACCATCCAGCACAAGAAGCTCCGGACACCGCTCAACTACATCCGGCTGAACCTGGCGGTGGCCGACCTCTTCATGGTGTTTGGTGGCTTCACCACCACCATGTACACGTCGATGAACGGGTACTTTGTCTTTGGAGTAACAGGCTGCTACATTGAGGGCTTCTTCGCTACCCTGGGTGGTGAGTTCTCCAAACACACAGACACTTTCTTCTGACGGGATTTGCCCTAGATTTCAGGAAAGGGAGAAGGGCAGGCAGGAAACCCAGAAGACCTGGGAAAAACCTGGGTGCTATCTGGAAAGTGCCTGGTCCGCTGCTGATGTGGACTGAGGCAGATGTGGTCTTTCCGGGCAGAAGACAAGGCAACAAAAGAAATGGCTATTTTTTTAAAAAAAACATATTTTGGTGCCCACCTACTGAGTGTCCTGAGAATAGTTTAGCAGTGAAACATGACCAGTAGCAGACTTTTCACTCGTTGGATTTTGCATGTCTTTTTGGCTTGTGTTCTAGCCTAAGAGATGGCAAATCTGCTCTCCCCGTTTTGTGGGGTTGTTTCTGCTGGTCTGGCTGGAGCTATGTGTGGTGGGGCAGGCTTTAGGCAAAACAGATGTTCAACAAAATGTCTAAAAGCACTCGCTGCTGGGTGCTTCAGCCTTTATCCACGTGCAAGGAAACCGATTTGCTAAGTCCATAATTGCCAGAGCTGCCAAGGTGGAGGAGGAAGAGGAAGGGAAAATCCTTGTCATTGCCATCCTTACGGGAGGAGAGAGGGATCCTGTGGCCCTTGTTGCATAGGTCACCCAGGCAGCTGAAGGGACACCCGGGATGGTCGGTACTCGCTGCCTCCTGGAATGGCACCTGGAGCTGAAGCAGCAAAGGGGCTATGTCCGGGGGCACTGATGTAGTGAGGAGGTGAGTTCTCGTGCCTTTCTCCTACATTTGCACTCCAGCTTCATTCATTTATCTTTCCTGACCTCTTGTCTGAGATTTACTGCTCTTGTGGGTCCTTGGGAACAGCAGTGCAGGGAGGTCCCCAAGGCTGCCATCAGCAAGTATTTCTCCCGCTGCCTCTGAGGTTCTTGTGTCCCCATCTCTGTGTCTTCCCTGGTGCAGGTGAAATTGCCCTCTGGTCCCTCGTTGTCCTGGCCATTGAGAGATACGTCGTGGTGTGCAAGCCCATGAGCAACTTCCGCTTTGGGGAGAACCACGCCATCATGGGCGTTGCGTTCACCTGGGTCATGGCCTTGGCGTGCGCCGCTCCCCCGCTGTTCGGCTGGTCCAGGTACGGCGGCAGCCGCGTGGGCGCAGAGCCGGGCTGGGTCGGGCTGGACCAGGACGGGGCTCCCCAGCGCTGGCCGCTGACCTGCCGCTGGCGCTGCTCCCTTGCAGGTACATCCCCGAAGGCATGCAGTGCTCGTGTGGGATTGACTACTACACCCTGAAACCAGAGGTCAACAACGAGTCTTTCGTCATCTACATGTTTGTGGTTCACTTCATGATCCCGCTGACGGTCATATTCTTCTGCTACGGCAACCTGGTCTGCACCGTGAAGGAGGTGGGTGCTGGCTCATGATGGAGGGCCGATGGGCCCTGTTAGGTGCCCTACTCCGGCCCGGGCCAGTGACAGCGAGAGCCGTGTCGGGGCTGGCAGGTCTGTGCGATGGGGACGGGGTCTGCAGGGCGCGCTGTCCCTGATCCCTGCGCGTCACCGCTGCCCTGTCCCCGCAGGCTGCCGCACAGCAGCAGGAGTCAGCCACCACCCAGAAGGCAGAAAAGGAGGTGACCCGCATGGTCATCATCATGGTCATCGCCTTCCTCATCTGCTGGGTCCCCTATGCCAGCGTCGCCTTCTACATCTTTACCAACCAGGGCTCGGACTTCGGGCCCATCTTCATGACCATCCCGGCATTCTTTGCGAAGAGCTCCTCCATCTACAACCCTGTGATCTATATCGTCATGAACAAGCAGGTAAGTGGCATCTCCCACGTGCTGCAGCGGGGCTGTGAGGAGGTCGGTGCAGGCGGCTCCGTCCCACATGCGGGAGGATGAGGTGCTCTCCTCTCTCGGCTCTGCACAGCATCCTCAGCCCCAGCTTCACCAAATGTGACCCAGGTGCTGACCGGGGCTGGTGAG